CTTACGCAGAAAAAGTTGAAGCCCGTCTCTCAAGGACAAGGATATAATTACATAGCTGTGCCTGGAGACACACTTCCCTCCGAATGCAACCTTTTGGGTGGATAAACTTGAGAAAGGAGGACTGAAGGGAGTAATTTACACTCTTCTGGCTCTGCAAGGGAAAAAGAAAGTAAAATTTCAGAGCTGAGCACTGTTGTTCGGGCTGGCCGCAGCAGTGCAAGAACACGCAGACGTGCACGCTCTATGCAAAACAGGAAATAAAACACTATTTAGAGGGATGAGAAGGCAACTGGGGACCTTTGCCTTGGGATTTGCATTGCATTAGAGCTTCCCCAGGCTGCCTCTGGACAGCAGGGTCTAGAAACAGTCCTCAGGTAGGACCGGCGGGGTGACGTTTCTCCTTCTCCTTAGAACCTGGCGTTCAGCCCCATCTGTGGATGTGGGTAAACCCCAGCCTGGTCTGCCCCATCCCCAGGAGCCCTGGCGTAGGCCCGGACGGATCTGACAGCCCCGTGGCCTCGGTTGCTGGTGCCACAGAAACCTCCTCTCCGAACACATCCTGGGACTACTCGGATCTGGACTGCTCCGAGGAGGACGTGCTGTCATCCTCCAGCGAGGCTGGAAAGGTATAAAAAAGGGAACCGCTTGGGCAGTCCTAGGCATTGTACGCGCTTAACGATCCCACAGGAACAAACGAGCTGGCTCAGCAGCTCCGCAAGTGGTTGCCTCCCATTTCAGCAGGGGTCAGTCAATGCACGGAGCCCGTCTGACAAACAGGTTGAGAGTACAAAGTGCAGGGAAGGAGGCTGAAATTTGAAGCATATAAGCTTTCTATACGCACTCTGCCAGACCCACCCTCCCACGGAACAAAGCAGCTTATCCCTGTCCCTCATTCCACCCAGGGCTAATATATACACATCCTCTCTGCAGCTTACTGAGGATGAAGACTCTTCGCGTGTGGACATCCCAGTTCTTCAGGAGATGCCGGAAACTCCCAAACTCAAGGCAATGCTGATGCCTCGGAAATCTGCAGTCCTCAGACCTCAGAGCGTGAAGCTCAAGTGCCCCAGGCAGACGAGCACCAAAATCGAGGGACGCTGGCCCCGTCCCCCCCTTAATTACTGCATCCTCATCACCCTCGCCCTGTGCAACAGCGCAAGTGGCAGTCTGACCGTACAGCAGATCTACCAGTTCACACGGTACCCGCTCTTCTCCCAGCTCCTAGTGCAGAATGAGGGGTACAGGAGTCTCTGATCTTCTACTGGGGAGCAGGGATGTGGCAGCCAGGACTTGCGTTCTGGTCTTAGCTGTGCCTTCGGCTCAGGATGCCGCTGAGAAAACTGCTTCCCCTCTTTGTCAACATGCAAACCCAGGAGTCTCGAGAGCCAGTGTTTTAGTTTTGTCTTACCCTCCTTAGAAAAAACAGAGTGCTCAACTGCGCCAGCCATCCTTATACCGCAGGGGTCAGGGAGGACCCTCTCCTCCTTCCCTTGCTCGGACACGATGTATTCTGTTATTTGTCACAGCCTCTAATTGCTTCAGCTCAGGACAAATCTTTTCTCTCCACAGGCAGCACTTCCCATTTTTTCAAACAGCCCCAGAGGGCTGGAAAAACACAATCCGACACAACCTGTGCTTCAGCAGCTGCTTTGAGAAAACCACTGGCTTCGTGTGCGGTGAGGGAAACCGCAAGTCCTGCCTGTGGAAACTGACCCCAGAAGGACGCAGAAAGTTTCAGGAGGAAGCACAGGCTCTGCCCAAAGAGGCTCTCGACTTGGTGCGCCAAAGCATGAGTGAACCGGGTACGTTTCAGAGGGCAGGAGCCCCACAAAATGCTGAGCGGGTCAGACTCTACAAGATTCCCATGGTGGGAGGGATACAGGTGGGCACCCAAGCCAGTACGCAGTCACCAGCACTGCAGCACACTAGGTCTAGGAGATGATACCAGACACTCTGAGATCCCTGTAGAGATACCCCCAACAAGCAGGGCTTGGTCACCAGAGCGGCCAAGGACCCTTCTTTAATGAAACCAACATAGCGAGAGAAACAAACCAGGCTACATTAAAACGCAGAGCCTTCATCTCAGTATGACGTTGCTCAGCAATACAATACCTATCAGTTTAATACGGATAAGAACTGAGGCTGTAGCATCAGTGCCTGAGCAGTCATTATGGTCCAAGTAACTATCGCAACTTCCTCTCTCTGTATCTTTTGCAGAGCTCATGAGATCTCTGTTTGGCCTATGATTCCTTCTGGTTCCCTGCTTCTGAAACACGTACCACGTGTTTTCAAACCAAGCTTGTTTTCTCAGGTGCTGCCGCAGGTAGCTTCCCAAGAACTGCGTGTGGAAATTATGAGCATCGTGACGTAAGGACTCAAATTTAGAAGGGGGGGGAGGAGAAAGATGACCAATCTCATTTCCCTCACAGTAAGGCAAGTTTTTGTTCCAGCTGCACACAGCTCAAGTTGCAGAGGCATTTCGACATGTGGCACCCGCTACGACTTTAACACAAAGTCCTCCATGCAAGCTGTTGCCTCTTGCAATGTTCTTGCGGCGCAGAGGATTAAGCTGCCGGAAAAGGCTGATCTGTTACCTAACAAAGGGTCTCAGCCCACAGGTCGGAGGCTGAGCAGAGAACGCGTTAGCGGGCAGAGTGAGAGGAGCCCCCTACCATACAGACGCTATTCCAAGCTGTTGCACTTGCCCGCCCAGCTGTAAAACCAGCAGGCAAGGATTCACATAACTGCTGGGCAGGCTGCTTTGCAAGGTGCTTGGAATTTCTGCAACGCTCACGTGGCAGAAATCAGCGAGCACTGCAGAGTGCGAGGAGGGAGAGAGTTATCTTGGAGAGGCAAGGACGCAACAAAGAAAAAAACCCCAAAACAATCAGAGCTTGCTGTTGCGTTGTTGACTTACTTGCTTCTCTAGCAAGAGGCAGGAAAATCACGTCCCCAGGCCAGAATTCAGGCAGGTAGCAGGTGTCTAGTGTTCAAGAAGAGTAGATTTTCCATACCTTCTCCCTGGCTGCTGCAGCAGTTGCTTGAGCAGAAGCATGATCGGTCCAGTTATGTCCGTTATCAGTCCCGTGTGCAGCAGGAGCCAGGGCGCCCTGTCGACAGGGGACAAACAGCACACGGTCATGATGCAAGTTCTGGAGTTCACTGCTGGGTTGTATCCTAGACCTGACCCACAGGGAGGGGATGCCAGGGGCCAGCCCATCCGAACCTGCTCGACAGGGCAGGCTGGGCGCACCCTGGAGATCAGCTCCTTTCACCCGTGTGCCCACGAGAAGGTAAAAGCACAGACACGGTAAAAGTGACTTGATCAAGTCTAAATGCACGCGCTGGGATGGTAGCTTCCCTGATTAGCGCGCAAACCACCACGCAGGGTGGGTCTGCGCAGCTGGGTGCTAATGTCACCTGAGCGACTGCAGAAGTCAGGGAGAGACGGATGGCTGTCAGTCCCACACGTGACAGTGCAGGCTGGCTGGCTGAGCAGGACCTGATTTAAAGTGAATGGTCTTTGAAGGCCTGGCTGCACTGGATGGCAGCACTGAGATAACCTTGATGCTGCACTTCAAATGCTCTCCTGCAATCATGCCAGACTAGACCATGACTATCCTCGGCTCTTACTAAATTAAAAAAAAAAAAAAAGGGCAAAAAACCCCCCTAAGATTTTGGTAGAGCTGTGGATGGGCAGGAAAA